ACAGGTTAGGAAGGAGGATCATAAACAAGAAGAAAAGAAGGGCAGGTAAAAGGGCACATGGAACAATTTCTCTGTTTGCTCAGTGGAGGGGGACAGAGTTCTGCAAGATCTTATGCCCTCTTCCTACCACACTGCAGATATCCCGTACTATCTTAAAATTTTGTCTCCTGTCTTTATTATCTTATCTTTACCAGGCTGGCATTACTTAACTTTGGCAGCACAGGGAAACCCGATGACCCAGAGTCTTGCTTGGTACTGTTGTATTATTTATTAGCAGGTGCCAGTATTTGCCAATCTGATCCTTGGGGCTCTTATTAGCTCTGCTATGTTCTGAGAAAGCAACTGTTAAGATGAAACCTTAGCAGTGGTTATACCAGTAGTTCTCAACCTTTTTGGATTTGAAGCACCCTTCATTGGACTCAAGGCACTCTTCTATAACTTTTTTTAATTGAGTGACATCAATTTTCAACAACTCAGTAAGGGATTACAGTGCTTACTTTCTTGCAGAGGAGAGAACCTCTGGGCAGGGACAAGCCTGAGTCTGTGCTTATTTCCTTAGTTTAGCTGCTTATCTCCTAATACCTCACTTATCTCCTCACACCTCATGGCATCCTTCAAAAGATCTGGCATCACACCAGGGTGCCTGGGCATATCATTGGGTTATACGGTAATAATAAATTGCATCTGATATTAGGTGTACCTCCAGTGCCCCCTGTTGGAGCAGAACTTCTGATACATCTTATTCATATTGTAAGGGACTAGGTTAATTTGTTGTGTGAAAGAAACAGGCTAAGGAGGGTTTTTTTTAGTAGACATACTGTGTTATAAACAGGGGGTCAGTGGAGCAATGGGTAGGTGAGATACTAGCACAAAAGGGCAGCTGATAAAGCTCTGTCTTGGGAAAGTCTGTCTAAGCAGGCATTTCTCTCAGAAGAACTGATAGGGACATGGAAATGGACATTTTGCAGAGGGCTGGTTGGAAAAGCTTGTTTAGGTATCTTTGCAGCTTGGATAACTTGCTATAAACCCCTTTCTTTTCACAGCTTGGGATGAAGAAGAAGAAATTCATGCCATATAACTACCAGCACAAGTACTTCTTCATAAGTGAGTAACTCCACCTTTTTGTTTTACTGTGGGGCCTTCATTCTGCAGTCACCAGGACCCTCTGAATTAATTCCTTGGTGATGGAATTATTTGGCTAATGTCTGCATTCTTTTTTTTTCTTTCCTTTAGTTGGACCCCCAGCCCTGGTGCCCCTCTACTTCCAGTGGTATATATTCTACTTTGCAGTGCAGCGGAAACAATGGGTGGTAAGTAGATCCCAGCATACCAGGCCCTATGGAGTCTCTACATTTATGGGCAAGGTTCAGTGAAGGGAGTTGGGAGTGAAAGGTCAGGGGGAAGAATACTGAGCCAGGGTAGCTGGTCATTGTGTTTCCCTGGGACAAAGAGAGATGGGTATAGGATCTGCGCAATATCATCAGCAGTTATATATCTTTTGAGAGGGAGAAGACAGGTGTCTTTCTTGTAATGTGTGTGCTTCTCAGTCTGTGAAAGAACAGCTTGCACATGGGTAACAGATGGCACCCCTGTGCTGTGGTGGTGGTCATTCCAGAAGGGGGTGTGGGCTTCTACAGATATTTCCTTGTACTGTGGACCAGGTATAGCCAGGGCTGTCCTTGGTTGTGGGGGAATCGGGGAGAATGCCCTTGGCCCTGCACTTTGCAGGGGGCCCGTGGAGCCGGACAGAGCGGCTGTGGCAACTTTGCGCCACCACTGTTGGCTTCACGTCTGGCTGCTCACCACCCCCACACCCCTTTGCTGCTGCTACTACCGGCAACTTCTCTGCATCCAGGGCATGCAGGATTGGTGCGGGGGCAGGGCTGTGCACAGGCTGATTTGCTAGGGGCCCCATGGTCTGCTTGGGTTGTCTCTGGGTGCAGCTCTACAGAATTTGAACATCAGATGGCACCAGTGGCTTATGTAGGACAGAAGAGAGATGGTGCACACACTTTTTTGGCTGCCTAAAGAGAAAATCCATTGAAAACTGGGGGAACAGGAAAGAAAACAGTAGAAAGTAGGGGGTGCTGAGAGTCAGATTCAGAGCTCCTCCACCTAGGAGAACCACATGCTAAAAGAATGAATAGAGCTTTCTCTTTGCATTGCGAGAATGCTAAGACAACATTTCTCTTTAGTCCCAGGTTTCCAGTTTTCATTAGCTGGTTTTCAGGCTCTCATCCCACAGTTTGTCATGAGAGAGCCCCAGAAATTGCATGCCTGTCTTTTGGTAGCATCCAAGTGTCTTGCTTCATCTGCTACTTGTTTGTGCCCTGGAATAAGGAAGGGGAGATGTTCTTACCATCTCCCCTTCATGCTTTTGGACCTTCCCACATGCCTAGAAGGCAGCCCTTCAGCAGTGCAGGGTGGAATGGAACAAAGAGAAATATGTAGGGATTCTGGAGTGGATAGAAGAGATCTGGATGGAGCGGGTCTGTTGTACTCATAGCGGTAATGGATTTTGGAGACCTCAAAGGGAATGTAGTAATGGTTGAGTACTGGTTTGTGATTTTGGTGACTGGAGATATGGGCAGAAGGGGCAACTCAGAGAGAATGAATGAAGGAAGAAGAAAAAGAAAATTAGAAAAGTCCACGGGAACAACAAAGAGGAACAATGATGAGTGAGAGGGATATGAGACAGAGTGAAGCTCCCTTTTATTTCCTGTGTGTCTGCTTTCTGTTTTTATTACTCACTTTATTTTCAGAGGTGAATGATATATAGTTCTACAGAGCATGCCTTCTCCAGTCCTTAGTCTAGCTCAAGCTCATTATGTGCAAAGTAAGAACAGGAAGTTAGAGTTCATGGACGGGGGAAAGGAGAGCTATGGTGTGTGGATGATTGGAGATTGCAGCAGTGGTTTCTTGGCCAGCCAGTGCAAGATGATACATGGTCATAGAATTTTCCGTCTTGAAGAATGATTTTGTCTTCTGTCATACAGGACCTGGCCTGGATGTTGAGCTTCTACATCCGATTCTTTTTCACCTACTTGCCCTTACTAGGGGTGAAGGGTCTCTTGGGGCTCTTTCTACTGGTCAGGTAACATTCAACCTGTAATTTCCTATAGGTACTTGAGCTTATGCCTGTTTCCTATTGATCCCTATAGTCTGTCATTCCTTAGTCCTTTAGTTCTCCTTTCTATCTCTCCATTTCCCCATATCTCCCCTCTTCTGCCCATTGTGCCTTTCTGTTATGTAATAAGAGATTGTTTTGCTTGGGGCATCATCCTCTGTGGGGCCTTTTCCTGACTAGTTGGTTAGAACCTGTAGGACTGTTTTTGTCAAGTGAGGACTAATTTGGCCTAGTAAAAGTGGTTTTTACTGGGTTCTCACTGTCTTGGGCACGCATGTCATCAGTGAGTGCTTTATGTGTTTATATGCACAGGTTCATAGAGAGTAACTGGTTTGTGTGGGTGACACAAATGAACCACATCCCAATGCACATCGATTATGATAACAATGTGGACTGGTTCTCTACTCAGGTATGATCCTTTTCTTTCCAAGGATCTGTGGTTGTAAAGGGGAATTTCTAGACCAAATGCATACTCTTTGAGATACAGGGGGATGGGGGTGGAGGGGAGAGGGGCAGTATTTAGCTCAAAGAATATTACTAGAATTCAGTGACAGGGTAATGCTAAAAAAGGACTTGTGTTTGTTCCATGAAGTGTGTGGTGGTGGGAAGGAACTGGGGCTGCATAGGAGTATTATGGAGAATACTGGAGGCTAGACCATAATGAGAAGTATTAGAAATGGCGGGAAGACGTTTTTATGGGACCCTCTTCTCATACAGGTAGTGTCTGTGTTCCCCTCTCATCATGTTCCTTCATCTTATGTCTGTTCCTTTTAGTGAGAGGTGTGAGGAAATCTCCAAAATTGAGAGGCAGGGCAGCTCTGTAATGCCAGCTCTGTGAAGAGTTGGTTAAGACAGCAGTAATCTCATATCAAGCTTGCCATTATCATCCAGACCAAGTCCCAAAGTCCTCAGGAGGAAGGGCTGTGAGTCTCATCCTAGGATGCTTATGCTCAGGGTAGAGGAGTTTGAGGATGAAGAAGATGAGAGAGGGAGTATGCTTGGAACAAACACTGTGCTCTCTTTTTATTCCCTCAGCTCCAGGCAACATGCAATGTTCAGCAGTCACTGTTCAATGATTGGTTTAGTGGGCACCTAAACTTCCAAATCGAGCACCAGTAAGTTCCAGTACTGGGGGAGGGAAGGAACCTTAAAGGGTATACATTACTATGACCGCTAGGGGAGGAAAATGGACACTGTGGCACCGTTTAACATACAGAGGTAGTTAGCTGTGTTAGTCTGAAGTCAGGCAGAAGGCAGGATAGATTTTCACCTTATAGACTAACTGAATCAGAGATGCATAAGCTTTTGTAAGCAGAAGTAAGCAACTGCTTACAATAGCCTATATATCTCTGATTCAGGTACTCTATAAGGTACAAATCTACCTTGACTTCTGCCACTTAGCACAAACATGGAAAACTTTTGGAGCAAAGAATGTGGAGGAGGAGTGGGATTAAGAGAAGGAAAAGGAACTCTGTGCTACTACTGAGTACATTCTTAGCTGGAGAGGCAAGAACCTCACAGGACACAGGAGAAAGTAGAAAGTACGACCTAGCAGTTTATAGTGGATGGACAGAGGTGAGAGAGAGCACTACAGCACGCTGAGGATCACAAGGTTAAGGGGAGAATAAAGCAACTGTGACACTGGGTCTGGAAGGAGCAGTTGGAACCCTCTGGGGCACTATATGGGAGACCAGATACCAGTGACACCGCCTTATTCTATCTTTGCAGCCTTTTCCCCACGATGCCTCGACACAACTACTGGAAGGTGGCTCCCTTGGTGAAGTCCATGTGTGCCAAACATGGCATTGAATACCAGTGCAAGCCTCTGTTCACTGCGTTTGCAGATATTGTATAGTAGGTATCAGTCATCTGATGTTCACAAGTGAAGAGTTTCCCCTTGTTTGGAAGCAAATGATCTAGTGACATTGGGGCAGGATGGAGGTAGCGGAGGTTTAAAGCAAACAAGCTAAGTGAAACTAAAAATCAGAGAGGCAAGCACAGAAGAAGGGTAGTTAAGGAGAAAAGCCTTGATGCAGTGGAAATAGGCCTTCATGGCTTATGGGCCTGGGTATGGAATGAATCCTTTTAAATCTAGCCCTGATTTCAGTCCACCTTCACATAACATCCATAGTTTCTCCAGTAAACACTAACCACCTGCTTCCCTGTCTTCTATTAATGAGACTCCAGATCTTGTGCACTTGTCTCTGAAAATATGTTATAAAAAGAGAGGTGGAGTCCTCAACAATTTCGAGTCCAGGCCTTATTTATTCATTCTACTTTATCTCTTTTTGTGACTCATTGTTTCCAAAAAATCTTATCTGACTTTATTCTGTGCTTACCTCCCTGATTTTTAGTTTAACTTGGCTTGTTTGCTTTAACTGTCAGCACTTTGATCATTCTCTTATGACTCCACAGTAATTTCTTCATTCATTATCCTTCCTAAAAGCCAAGCCCTGAGTTATTGTATGTCTGAATATCCTGTTCACTTGTGTCACAGAAGGGTATTTTAATATTTCTCCTCATTTCACTGTTCTCCCTAGATTTTCTCCTTCCAGAAGTGTGCACACACTGCTGCTGCACTTCATCTTGTTTTGAAATTAATTGGCCCTCTCTCTCTCACTCAGCTCGCTGAAGGATTCGGGAGAACTCTGGCTTGATGCCTATCTGCATAAATAGGAAGCAGCAGTTCCTCACAGTGGAATTACCCACCTCCACTGCATCTTACAGCGGGTATGCATGAAGACAAAGCACAGAGGGCAGGCAGCTGGCTCAGCCAGGGGTAGGGAAGTGGGCAAGCTTAATTCTAGTATTGAATGTTTTCTTTTTTATTGATTTTTAATCTTGATTCTTAATCTCTCATGGTTCTCCCATTCCTCCTTTCTGGTGCTGAGTTATAGAGAGGAACAGAATGGAGAAGACTATGCACACCAGAGAGGAGGTCTGGGAACTGAAGGCCATAGGACTGGGAATTGAAGTCCTTCCTGCTCCTGACCTTTCACTTGCTGTGGCTAAAGGAAGGAAACCTCTTAGCTAACATAGGTTATATTCAGTGTGAAAGACCCAAGGAAGTTGGGACAGTCTGAAGTTAGTGAACAGGGAAGTTTAGGAGTGGTGGAAGGAAGAGAAGGAAAAATAAAGGAGAAATGCAAGTATTTGAAAAAAGAAGAAACTGTAGGGACTATGCTTTCAAACACATTTGTGCATTTAAACACTGCAAAGGAAGTGTCCCAACCATGGTGGAGTGGGATAGAGATGAAAGCTAAACTAGTGAGCAAGGCTCAGACTACTTTTTAGGGATGAGTGAGAGAAGAAAGACCAAAGCCATAAAGGGCACCTATACACATGCAGGAAGGCTGCTCCGGTGTGCTGTTATTACAATGTGTTGGAGGAGACTCGATTAATACAGTCTTCTGGAGCGTGGTAATTACCACACTCCAGCAGACTCCAGCATCATGTATATCAGCATCCCTGCACTGAAAAATGGTGGTGGGGGTGCTTTAACTAAAGTCCATTTGACGAGCTTTAGTTAAAGTGCCCCTGCTGTCATTTTCCAGCATGGGGATGGTGATACACGTGATGCTCCAGATGCTTTAATTAGAGCAACTTTTGGAGCCACTCTAATTAAAATGCCTCCCCCCACCAGAGTACATGTATACATGCCCAAAGAGGGCTTGATGGAAATTTGGGGTGTGGCCAGGCTCTTCTCTCAGAGTTAGGGTAGTGGAGGACTTGACACAATGTGTTCCAAATACTGCTATATACATGCCTTTTGTGCTGTTTTCAAGAATGTAGGAGAGTAAGCCTCTGGATCTCCAGCTCAGTTACCACAGAGGTTTTTGCAGAGGTAGTTTCGCAGAGGTAGTTTCCACAGTGTCATACTCCTACAAATGAAACTGTCAGTGGACCAATTACTGATATACCACAGAGACAAAAAATAGTGCAAATGGGTTTCTAGTTTCCTAGATTAGCTACTAAAATGCCTCCAGCAATTTAGATTAGGAAGTAAAAGTGTAATTGAGCTGTATCTATCTGAGATTTCATGCTCACTACACCTTCATAAATAGGAAGATAACTGGATTTCTTGCTCTTAAAGCACAACATGCTCCTTCAAGAGCTAAAGACAAATCTTATTTAACTGTCAGGCATTTTGGTTTAGGACACCATTAGAGTGAATCTCAACATTCCAGCCAACAGAAGGCAGTGGTGCACTTGTGCACACACTTACCAGTCAGTATGCTGCGGCTCTGTTTTCATTACATGAAGTGCCTCTAACACATGCTTCAACGAAGTATGTTCTTCTGTGTAACTCTGTTAAAGAGTATTATCCTTACTGCTTTTATTGGGTCCACTTAAAAGACCAAATGCCACAACTGCTAAATTAAAGGTAGGACCTGTGATGCTTAAAGATGTGATTGGATAATGCACAAAACTCCTCCTTTTCTCTGCCCCAGACTATTTTTGTCTCTAAGTCTCAAACTCGCTCCTTCTGGGTTTTGGGCCTAGCCTTTTCTCTTCAGCCACTACTGCTGTCACGTAGACAAGCATATGATATGAGGTGTCTCTGCACCTTCCTTGAGCTTTTCCCTCTCCCCCAACACTCACTGCTGTTGGCCAGTTTGCCTGACAACTTTTCAAATTAAGCTAACAGGTGATTTCAGATCCAGAAAGGACTAGGTAAGGAATGTGACTTCCCTTCTCTGGCTGCCACCCAAAAGGTGGAAGGCTTCAGGAGGGGCTAGTGTTCCTTCTCTCTGGACACACAGTTGTGAATAATATTCAAGTTTTGTTTTTTAATGGAAATAATCAAAGCACTATTACAGTTATGAATTCTAAGTGTTGAATAAAGGCTGTAAATTAAATTAAATCCCATGGACTTCTGTAGTTTTTGCCCCCCTCTTCTTCCCTTTTTTTTTCCCCATCATCATGTTTTGGAGGCAGGAGTAAAGGGTAAGTCAAGTAACAAAACTCCCCCTCTTTCCCAGGCTGCGCTATACAAAGAGAGAAACTCATTTATGCAGAAGACAGATCTTTTGTGTGCCTGGTCTGAGATTGAATCAGGCCTCATCCCCTTTCACTCTAAATACAAGAAAGTCTACTTCAGTTATGTTCTCTCCAACATAAAGATGGAGTATCTGTATAATTTAAACAAAGTAAGCCCCATGAAAGCAAAAACTGTACACTGTCCAATCCTGCTGGGTGAAGGTAAGAGAGAAAAATAACTACCATCTATTTTGTGGTCCATATTGCTTAATGTACTACTGGAAATGCTCAGTTACTACAGGGATGAGGACTGTGTAAGAATATGTAAACAGTTCTGTTCTGTTCTGTTCAAGTGGAGAGAATTTTTAGGATAAATCTAATTTGTCCATCCCACAGCACTAAGATCTGGGCCTAGTTTTGCCCAGTGGCCTGGCTTCATTTGTTCCTTAAACAGAATCTCTCCAAACTTGGAAGGAACCCTTCATAGATATGCTCTAAGTCTGCTTGAAGTCTCCCAGCTGTGCTGACTTATGCAATTATCCACGATTTTTCTGTAGTAGCTCTCATTGTTCTGGGCTCTTCAGGTGCAGTAACATCAGGCAATACTTAGACTGTGTACACATGTTCAAATGATCTTGAAGAATTTGCCTGGGTTTGTTCTCCTGGTAGAAAAACTTACCTGGAGACACCTGAACAGACATACATATGCTGAGCTCCTGAAAAGGAGAGCTTGCAGTGCTGATACTGCACATGTAGGGGTCCTGTGCATGCATCTCAGCATCCTCTGCAGGCTCCCTCAGTCTGCCTGGTGACAGATGACAGCAGTGCACAGGGCAGCCCTAATTGGCTGACCCAGACTGCTTAGTGTCAGCCTGTGTCTCTCTGCAGCACACTGTAGGGATTATGTTCTGTTCCCTGCTTGGCTGGAGCAGTCAAGTATAGCAAGTGATGCACTGGGTGCATCGACACGAGATGCTAAATGTTCAGTAGACTAATTCTACTGTGCATTGGCACAGCAGTCCAAAACCATGCTAATGTGCTAATGTAGAATTAGTCTACTGTGCATCAGCATCACAAAAAAGTGTGTGCTGGTGCTACTGCACAGTAGCGCCAATTATGGCACATTAAGTTAGTACCTGTTATTACAGGTACTAAACAATGCACCGCAATTACAACATATTAACAAATGTGTAGGTGCACCCACTGTCCCCTAGGTAAGAAAACAAAGCACCCTGGAGGACTGTGCTGTGGCTTCACTCAGAAGAGAACATGTACAGACATTTGCTCTCCCAGGAGAAACTTTCTTGGGAGTGATTCAACCGTGGTTATTCCCAGGTTATTTCCACCTAGAGCACCTGTTTTTGCTCTGGGGGAAAAATTCCTAACATTTTTAACTCTACCAAGAGAAATTGAACATCTGTATGTCTGAGAGTCTTAGACGCTCAAATTACTAATTTGTATAAAGTCTCAATTTTAAAATTATGATATCTAAAAAATGCAATTTTAGAGCTGTATTGTTCCTCTCGATGGAAGTCAACTAGCACTAGGTGTCTTGGGGTATGCTATTCTGGAGAACCACAAACACCACAAGAATCAGGGCTTACCTAGAGATTTCTGCTACCATGGACACCCCAGGTCATTCTCTAGTGATTCCTGAAGAGACACTGATCTTCCAGAATCTGGAACTTCCTCTCTAAAAAGATGTTACAAGGTTTCTTTTGTGCATATCAGAAACAGTTCAAAGGTGTTTCCTGTGCTGAGTGTCTGCAGACTTTATTTCAGTGGAGTATTAGATACACAATTTTTATTTTAGCTTTAAAGGAGTTAATGCAGCTTTAATGACTAGCCTGAAATAACCACATGGTGGTAGCAGAGAGTCATAAATGAGGAAAACTACAAGCCTTAATGAAGAGCCACAGAACCAAACCAGTTTAATGGACCAGAACTTTGGCAAAAAGACTCTTTGAACTGTGCATCATTTTAATATTTATTCCCTTCAACTGCTGCTTTTATGGGCAAACTTCCTTAAATATGCTGACAAAATTTTGCATCAAAATAGCTCAAAATTTTGCAGCAACATGGCTTTACTGCAATAGCGCCTGTCCTCTCCCACAGCATCTTATTCATGCCATGTCAGAGAATTAAAGTTGTTACAGGGCACGTCTACCCATGCAAATGCTAAACAAACCCTGGGCAGGCATCTACATGTGCAGGAATTTGGGAGCAGATTTGCTGCTCCTGGCAGCAGTCGGCTTCTGCCCCCTAAGGCCCAGCACCAGCCCCCTGCAACAGCCAGGGGGAGCTGGAGGCTCTGGCCATAGCTGCTTGCAGCTGGCAGCCATGTTTAAAAGGCAGTGCGGCTCCCTGCTCCCTTGCACCTGCATTCTGGGCCAGAGAACCCTGCAGAGTTCTCTACCATCCTGTTGCAGCTTTGTCACCACAGCCTGTGCCCACCACCATGGCTGCTCTACCCCCAGGCCCTGGGAGAGACATCCAGCACCCCAAGCTTCTGCTGGAAAACTTGGTTGCCATGCTGCACTGCCTCACTGACTGCCGCCTGGCCCAGGTCAGTCTCAGCCCTGGCGGTCTCCCTGTGTGGCATGGCTGCCTGCCCAGGCTCACCATGCCATCTCCAGCCCCCTGCCACTGCACTGCTGCTGCCTGGACCCCATGTTGCTGGCCAGACCCCAGCAGGGACACTGACGACATGCACCTGGATGCCACCACTGCTGCCATCCATGCTCTCCTGGAGCTCCAACAGTGCCACCTGTGGGCCCACCTGGTCAGTCACGACTGGTGGCTATACATTGTTCAGAGCATCTGGGACTATAAGCAGTGGCTGTAGTCCTTTCACATGACCCGGGCCACCTTCCAGGATCTCCTCGACCTGCTCCACCTACACCTGGAACAGCAGGATACTACCATGCAGTGGCCCCTCCCCATGTGCACCTGGCTGGCCATCATCCTGCTCAAACTGGCCATGCCTACCAGTCTTATTTACGCTGGCCACCTCTTCAGCATGGGCAAGGTGATGGATGGGGAGGCTGTCCTGGAGGTTTGTGGTGCCCTCCAGGATGTGCTGGGGCACACTGTGCTGTGGGTGCACGACCTCTTGGTGGTGGTGGTGGGATTCTGTGCCCTGCGCTTTCCCCAGTGCATCAGGGCCCTGGATGGGAGCCACATCCCTGTCACCTGCCTGCCCCACAGCAACTGCCCCTACTACAGCCAGTGGGGCCTCCACTCCACTTGTGCTTAAGTCTGTCGTCAACCACCGGGTGCCTTCACCAATGTGAGTGCCAGCTGGGTGGGCAGCACCCATGACATTCAGGTCTGCGACTTCACCCTTCCAGCCCTAGTAGAGAATGGGCACTTCACGCCAGGTGGGCGCGGTGGCCATCCTGTCCCTCCTCATTGGGGACCCGACTTACCTGCTCCTCTGGCTCATGCAGCCCTATACTGGACAGCTGGAACCCCACCAGGCACACTTCAACAGGTGCCTGGGCTGGACCCTGGTGGAGTGCACCTTCAGCCACTTGAAGGGATGCTGGTGCATCCTCACGGCCAGCCTCGAGGTCACTGGGGCCAGCAATGTCCCAGGTCATTGTTGCAGCCTGCATGCTGCATAATATCTATGAGGCCCAGGGGGAGCTCTTCTGCAAGGCTTGGATGGACGAGGTGCAGCAGGCAGAGGATGCCTGCCTTTGGGAGCACAAGCTGCAGCAGCAGCGACAGCAATGAGCCCTCCTGCTGAGGCCCTGGGTGAGCCACTTACCTGCCAGTGGGGGCCAGGGCACTGGCCGACTGCCTTCTTCTGCACTCCCTGCTGTAGGCTGGACAGCCAGCCTCAGCCCCCAGCCCCACCGCACCCCCCTGGCACCATGCTCATTGTGAAGAGTTCTCAGAAGAACACTTTATTCCCCTCCACAAACACAGACCCCCTCCACCCTATCTCCCCCACAACAGAGCAATTCCTCCTCACTCCTCCATAACAGAGCCCTCTGTCCTCCCTCCCTCCCTCCCTCCCTCTCCCTGTTCACCCCGACTCCATGCCACCCCTGGAGCAGGAGCTGCCTGCAGAAGAGCCAGTACTGTGTGTGGGCCCTGCTGGCAATGGCCACTGGCTGCATGAGGGGAAGCCAGCCGTGCTGGCAGACCAGTGGCCACCCGCACTCCCAGGGAAGCCCTCCAGCCACCAGTCTTGCTGCAGCATGTGCACCTGCGGTGGTGCAGCCAGAGGCTGAGGGGCTGGGCTCCTGTCCCCAGGCTCTGCTCCATAGGTGCCCCCACCCCACTGATGCTCTATGGGTTGGCAGGGAGGGGAGAGGGTCTCTCTGGTTTCAGAGTGAGGGGGAAGGGGAGTCTGTTGTTGGGGAGGAAAGAGGGACAGGGTCTTTGTTTGTGGAGGGGAATAAAGTGCTTTGCAGAAAACTGTCAGTGACTGCTTTCCACCAGGGCTGGCAGGGTGGAGTTCAAGAACACGCAGGCATCATGTGCACTGCCAGCCCAGCTGGTGCTCATGTTGGTGAAGGTGCCCCCGTAGTTGATGATAGCCTCCAGCATGGTGAAATGAAAGCTCTGCTGGCTTTAGTAGGGGTGGTTGCTGCGGGACAGGCAGGTGATGGGGATGTGGGTCTCATCCAGGGCCCTGATGCATGGGGGGAAGCCCAGGGCATGGAACCCCTACCACCACCTCCAGCAGGTTGTGATCCAGAGCCTGGTGTCCCTCAGCACATCTTAGAGGGTGCTGCAGAGCTCCAGGATGGCCTCCCCAGTAGTCACCTTGCCCATGCTGAAGAGGTAGGTGATGTAGCACAGGCTGGTAGGTGTGGCCAGCTTGAGCAGTGCAATGGCCAGCCAGGGC